GTTTAGTTAATATATGCTAGAATATTGAGCTATAAATCTGATAGAAGTAGCTTGAAGATGTTTTGGTGGGATTTCCAATAGGAACTGTATGCATAAATGGTTGGAAATTTTTCTGAATGAATACTGGAGTATCATTTAGTTCATTTTATACTATCAAAGAATAGGACAGCAAGACACATAAGATGGAGTTTTCTCCTTAAAAAATAAATACAGAGTGCATAATATCTTGATTATTTTGCCTTTGGGTGATAAATGACTACATATATTCAACATGAAAGTGATGAGCTTCAAAGTTTAAAAATTCAAATTGGTTATTTTTCATCAGTTGCTGTTTTTAAAAGAGACATTGCTAAATATAAAGATCTTAACTTAAAAATGTAGTTTATGTCAGTGTTCAATGTGGAACATATTTACACCTAGATTTCTACTCTTTAAAAAATCATGTGCTTCACCAAGTGCTGTCACATCATGTGATCATATAAACACATCTGTAAGTTAGAAAGTTAAGCTATTAAGAATAAATTATTCTATACACCAATAATGATATTCTTGAGAACAATTTTCTGTGGACTATTAATGTTGTCTTATTATACTCAAAATAAAAAATACAGTCTTTATTAAAAAACAATGTAAATATAGCCAAATTTATACTTTTAAGGTTTCCAGGCCTTCATCATTTCTAGAATTAGTGATGTGTAAATACAGGTTGCCTCATTAAATATAGTGAATTTTATAATGAGTTTTACTAATTTAAATGCAATTATACATGCTAACAGCTCAAAGATTTAAATTTTCATTTTCAGGAATCTTCTATATGGTTAGTGCCACCCTACCATCCAGACACTGTTTAGTAAACTTTTGAAACTTACTAAAAGAGGTTTTTAATAATGGTTAGTATCCTTGTGCCTTTCTTTTTTCTTTTTGTAGTCTGTTATATTAATGTGGAGAAACATTTTTGTGGTTGTTTTCACCCTAAGAAACTTACCTTATTTAATGACACAATTTGTGGTTTTCCATTCCTAAGGAAAAGTGATTTGAAAAAAAGCAACATAGTTTTCGTTTTCTTCCTCCCACCCCCCTCCCTTCCTGCTTTTCCTTCCCCCGCTTCCCTCCCTCCCACATTCCCTCCTTCCTTCCTTTCTTCCTTTTCTACTGCTCTCTTTTTCTTTTATTCTTTCTTCTGCTCTCCTTTCTCCTCTCCTCCTCCCCCTCCCCCCGCCTTTTCCTTCTTCTTTATTACAAGCCAGGAAACTCCTGTTAAGTGCACTTGGGTTTTTCAAAGCCTGATTTCATAGTTCAACAAAAAAGACATTTTTCAAAATTCCAATTATTATATGAAGTAGGAAAGATATTGTCTCTTGAATGATAATGTTAGAACTTTATTTAAAAGTGAGACATAGTAATTTTTGGGCAACACAAAGCACAGAGAAGCAACTATAATCCACAAGCATATCTATAGTTTCAACTTTAAATTCTTACATAGATTACAATATGGAATTTGCATTCTAAAGCTTTAAAAAAAGTAAAGAACATGTGTTTGCCTGGTGCCACAAGTGAACAGTACTTTATGATATTAAATTCTTTAAATTTCCCCTGTTTATTCTAAATTCCTGCTCAGATCTTAAGGTTTTCATAGTTTTGTGAAGGATTAGAAATATTCTACATGTGAGAAGAGAACCTATGGTCTCACAGTGACTTTATTAGTAACCTAAAGTAAAACTACTTTTTAGGTAAACTGACAGTGATAGATCAAAAGAGAACTGGTAAAATTCAGCTCATTCAGAGAAAAAAAATTTAATAAAAGTGGTAATTTGACAATAAATAACCAAAGCTATTGGTTGGGTGATTAAAGGCTGTTTGATTAAAATGTTCACTTTCTAATAGCTTTGTAGGTTAGATAAAGCCTAAAATGGTATTGGTGGGGTTACATGTTTATAATTTTCAGAGTTTTTAAATTTGTAAATATAATTCATTTAAGATAATTTAATTTATGAAAGATGAAAGTATTGTGATCTTTGGTGCAGGTTTTTTACCTACATTTTATATTACACAGCATTATAAATGTTATATATTATATAAAATTGTCTAAAAAGAGCTTTATATGCCTTTATTTGTAGTCTGAAGTTAAGTCTAGGGTACTAAGTGCAGTTTACTCTTTAACTTACTAGAAATAAAATTGAGTCATTTCATCTTTGAATGGATATGTATATTTATAAGACCTTTTTTTCCAAAGGAAATCAATTGTGTAGGCCACTCTCTTAGTATGCACAAAAAATTAATTAATATATCTATTCCATTATTTTTTGAAACTAATATATTCAAAATGTCTACAAATCGAGTTTGCCAAGAAGAGGGTGTGATCAGTTATTTAACATATGGGAAATTTATTCATTTTAAATGAAGGCTTATTTCAAACAATTCAACGTTATTCACATCCTATAACATTTTAAAGTGTCAATGGCATCAAGTTCTGACCTTGTTATATTATCTAATCAATTCTTCTGTTAAATGTTTCAACAGAGAGCCAAGACTAAATTACCTCAAGACTATGTATTCTTCCCCCTTTTGGAGTCAGATTTTTCCATTTCTACAGTGTTGTCATCATCACCATCTTCATCATCATTATCATCATGTTCTTAATAAGTACATCTAATAGTAGGTATTAAGCAATGAGAAACACTGTGTCCATATACTGGCTGTCAGGTGTCATATAAATCCTTTAATAGAAATATAATTCATGAACTTCCGAACTGTATAATTTAACACATTATAAATAATGCATGGCAGTAACTGTAGTTAATGGGGAATTCATGTGTAGCATTTAATCACCACCCATTATAAATACTAATAAATTAATATTTTTACTAATTTAATGTTATTAAACAAATACCAAAGTTTTACCTTGATTAATCAGGTATCTTGTATACATGCTTACTAAGCTTCTGAAAAAAACTTTTTTAAACAGTTGAATTAAACACATTGTTAAGGAAGAGTTCAAATATTAGGGTCATGTGTAGCTACAGTTAAAATTCAGTCAACATTTAAAGGATACATGTGTGTTCAGTCAGTGCCATGAGAACTTGATTTCTGCTCTTTACAATTTAGTGAGAGGGATACATAGAAGTCCCAGGCCAGATAGAAAAAAAACATGACAATGAGTGCAAAATACTAAAGGGACAAAACCAAATTGAGTGAAAATAATGAGCCTGGCAATTGGAAAGTGATTTCTGAATAAGTTAAAGAGTGAATCATGTCCTGAGGTAAAGGGGTAAAGTTGGATTGTTATGAAGGATGAAAGAACTCTGCAGGGTCCTAGAGCAAGGGGAAGCAAAGGAGAAAAACCCTGGAAGTCCAAGCAAAAAAGAGTGTGTTAGAGAAAAAACAAATGGGGAGGGTGGAGAGCTAAATCATGGAAGTCATGATGGGGGAAAAAACCCCAAAAAAACAGATATGGATTTTACCTGTTTCTTAGACAAAGAAATGCTATTAATAAGTGGTTTAAAAATAGATTTTTCTGGTATCTGTGAGCCTTTTGGGAGGGAATAGCCTAGACATACAATTGAGAAGACCACTAAGGAAACTGTTCAGGAACGCATTAAAGAGAAATGAGGATATAGCCAGGAATGGACAAGAAGATACTAAGATGGGGTCAAAAATCACAAAATTGGGTTATCAGGATATCTTGCTGGCATCGCAGGCATGAGCTGCAGAAAGTGACTTCCCTTTTTTCTGAATCAGTTTTTGTCAAAGAGATGCTTACTTTAATTCAAAGTATTGGTTTGAGTGTCACAAAAGATTATGTGTGCAAAGTATTTTTTAAAAAACCACATATATGCTATTAAATATTGTTTGGAATTAGCCTAAGCTGATAAACAATAAAGCAGCAACATCTAAAGCAAAAAATAAGTCTTCACATGCAAATTTGATTAGGTTTATTTCATTATGTTTTCATATCACTTTTTGGAATTGTGTAAATTTTTCATATTTGTCCACATTTTTGGTCGTTGTCCACATTTTTAGTTCTTACACAGAAAGAGCCTAAGTCTCAGCCCATCTGAATTCCAACTACAATATGCAACTGGTTCATGAATCTGATTTATATGTAACTAACATACGTGTATCTCAATTAGTTGGGGAAGAGGACTGATAAAATTTTGTTTCACATATATGACTCTGTAATAGGAATCGTGAGGAGTGTGTAACAATGAGCCCCAGATACACAGAATTTCTAGCAAATCTATTGCCAATGAAATGGGAATTAAAAATAATATTTATAGGGTCATTTTATCTTGATGGGATGAAACATTTGCCAGCTTTCAATTATCAAGCTGATGTTGACCAAAAAAAGTTAATATTTGTTCATGTATTTTTAATGTGCTACAGTTTGTCATTTCATGATTAAATCATGTTTGTTTGTAATCATCATCAATAGTTTTATAGGCATAATCACACAAAGATATAATGAGTACCAGAAATTATTTTCCATGTTTTTATGTCTAAATGTGTGAGTACTATTTTTGTTCTGTTTTGAGATGCACAATGGAAGAATCCATGTTTAAAGAAAATTTTCATATTTCATGCTGTGATCTAAAAAAGTAGTACATTTCTTCTAATCTGTTAAAAGATCAAGAATGGATTTCTGGTTACTGATTTGTGTACATGTGTTTGTATTTAAATTTTAAGGTAGATCTATATTTTATGATGTCAATTTTACATCTGAAAATCTTACTCAACATAGACATCTTCTATGCATTCCTTGTTGGCAGTTTATTTCACTATCAGCTGGAGATTTTCTTTAAACTAGCCCACTTGGCAAAGATACTTTAATGATCACGAGTTGTGTATTAAAAGTGCAACAACTGCTCTCACCTTTATAATGAAATTTTTCAAACCTTCAAGGCTGCAATGTTGACAAGCCTCTTGAAAGTGATTTTAATATTATTGCTGGGCGGTTGCAGTTGGCCTGTGTTTTAATATCTCACTCTCTGTGTTATTCTTAGAGGTCCTTCTGTAGCGCCATGGTGGAAGAGCTGAGGATGTCCCTGAAATGCCAGCGTCGGTTAAAACACAAGCCACAGGCCCCGGTTATTGTGAAAACAGAAGAGGTCATCAACATGCACACATTTAACGACAGAAGGTTGCCAGGTAAAGAAACCATGGCATGAAGCTGGGAGGCCAAACACCCAAGCACAAACTGTCGTCCTTTTTTTCCAAACGATTTAGCGAGAATGTTTCCTGTGGAAATATGCAACCTGTGCAAAATAAAATGAGTTACCTCATGCCGCTGTGTCTATGAACTAGAGACTCTGTGATCTAAGCAGTTGCAATGATCAGACTTGATTTACAAGCATCATGGATCAACCAAGTTACACTGGGTTACACTGTTTATCATGGGTTCCTCCCTTCTTTTGAGTGAATGTTACACGCGCATTTTGTGGCTGGTTTCAAATGCAGTCCAGTAAGAAATTACAGGTTCCTTTTGAAGTCCAACTGTTGCCAGGAGGTGGAATATCAATGCCCCAAGGGTAACCAGTAAAAAAAAAAAAAAATCATTAAGAATAAAAATACTTGGAATCAGCAAAAACTGTAGTGTTACAAGAAACAGTACAGTCTTCTGACACCCAGATAATATAGGTGGTGATGTTACTAGCCCCCAACTACTCAGTATAATGATCATCTGAATAGATGATATGTGTTTATAGGATGTGAAAAAAATGTAATGCAAAACAAATCTGAATTTCATGGCAAGTGGAATATAAAGCAGATATTCATCAGTGTTTTTCTTTCTTTCTTTCTTTTGACAGTCTGTGTCACTGATTGAGATAGAAATGTCAAATACCAAGGCAATAATGTTTTTTGTTAACTTTACCAAGGCAGGAGATTTAACATACAACTCTACCAGGTCCCCACCTATCCCCTTACGCCTTTTCCCCAACCCCGTACCAAGAATAAAAAAGCAACAGTTGGTTCAGAGATTCTGAATTGAAAAGGATGATGTTTTGCAATCGTTGTTATAAGTTGTAAAAGAGGGCTGGATATCGATGGCTATGTGGAAGACTGACGCTTTCATTCTAACATTCAGATATGTTAATCTAAGCCCTCGTTCCTGCTATAAACGAACTTGATGGAGCCTGGGCAGATCTCGGTGAAAGGAGAAAGGGGACTGACTGGTCAACCATAGAAAAGGATGTGTGGAGAACTTTGAAGTGGACTGCGTTTATCAGTACAGTCACAATGTTAAATGAACAAAATTCTTGAGCAGTTTTTTTCAAAAACATGTTCAGGTTTATTTGTGGAAATGCAAGATTTCTATGAAAATAGTTTTTGTATGGAAATTTTTGTAATACTTTTTATCAACAAAATAAGAACACGTGTTCCTGTCAGGGGTGTGATGTCAAGCATGAATGGTAGTGCGTGTGCACCACCAACGTTTGGTGAAAACTATTTTTATCAAGAAAAAAAGGAATCATAGAAGAGAAATATTTTCAAGTTAGAGAATATAAAAGCTAGGTGCACTACCATCCTGCTTACCATGCCACACCCCTGGTTTCCACGAGGCTGATAACATACTGTAATGAACAGTTGTGTGTAAAATGGTAAAAGACACAGACCTCTTGACAATATTGTGACAACAGTTGAGTGCACACAGTTTGCTGTTTGAATCCAATGCACAAAATTAAAAAAAATCATTAAAATTATGTCCATTTTACTTTCAGCTTTGACTTTCATTTTTCTCTTGTATGTGTATAAGAATGCACAGTATGTTCATTGCTTGAGGAGAAGTCCACTTCCTGAAGCCTTCCAGGTCATCAAGGATGGCCACTGCCCAACCACCTGGAGAAAAGAAGAAAAAGGCTCAGTGATGAACTACGCAGATGTAGGAAAAGCTGGACTGGGATAGAACCTGTAATCTTCCAGTTTAGGGCAATTTAAATGAGAAAAAGAGCAGTTCTAGAAGTAGCAGTCATGATCTTGCTTCTTCTCTGAGTAGATATTGACTATATTTGATAGGGTTGTGTAAGACTGTATCATGTTTACTATGTGATATTTGAAGTTCAATTTATGTCCAATTTAAGAATTCCCTTGTGCATTGGTAATTCAGTGTAATTCAGCAAAGGGAGAGGAGAAGATAGGCTCAATACCAACAATTAGTAATGATGTGGTTTAGATGGTAACATCCTAACAGAATTTGTTTAAAACAAATAAGGTAACCATCTTAATTACAGGTGACCCCCCCCAAATAAATAAATAAATAAATCAGAAAAAGCTCTGTATTTTTTAAACATGTAGAACTTGCATAATCAAATTGCTAATATCTGATTAAATTAAAAATTAAATGCCCAAGTATTTTAAAAATTTCTAGTGTCAGAGTTATTTTCAATTAAAATTCATATTTCAATGATAATTTTGTCCCCAAATTTAATGTTAGAGAGTTACACAAGCCACTACTAAAAATCTCAGCATTGTTTTTTTTTCCATGGTAAATAGCTTCAATATATCTCATAAAAATGTTCAGATTTTGGATAATATTAAGTTTCTTATCAATCAGGTTCTAATCAGATTTTAAAGCACTTTTTAAGATCAATTCTTCTTTATATTAAACAAACTTAATAATAGGCTAGAAATGACAATTTTAACTTTTTTTTAAGTAGACAGGAAATAATTATTTTGATTTTTGGTAAAATGTGGCAATTATTTTAATCAAGTATTAGATTTAACAATTTTGAAAAGTGTAAAAAAACTGCTGTATTTTTTACTCTAATGGTAATTTAGAATATATAAGCAATGTATAATATTTAATTTTTATCCTTTTCCTAAAAGGTTTTCTACGTTATTGCCCAGATTTTTCCGTACTTATTAGGTACTTATGCATATATGAGATACTATTCTTTTCTTTTTTTTTTTTGAGATACTATTCTTAATAAAATCTTGATTACTTTCAAAATAATTTCAACCAGGGGTGCCTGGGTGGCTCAGTCGTTAAGCGTCTGCCTTCAGCTCAGGTCATGGTCCCAGGGTCCTGGGATCGAGCCCCACACCGGGCTCCCTGCTCGGCGGGAAGCCTGCTTCTCCCTCTCCCACTCCCCCTGCTTGTGTTCCCTCTCTCACTGTGTCTCTCTCTGTCAAATAAATAGATAAACAAAATCTTTAAAAAATAATAATAATTTCAACCAGTGAAAAAAATGTGTCCTCTCTTTGGGAAGGTAGTATATTGGAGTAAGGATCATTCTCTAGCATAACACTTAAATTATAAGGAACGGAAGAGAACACATGTTACAATCAACATAAACTGACAACTTCAGGTAATCAATGGAGGTACATATACCACAAATAACTCTAGCACTATGAAACACGAGGTGGATATATTTACATATGCCATAACTAAATAACCTTAACCAGATGAAAATACCAATAATTTATATTTGTGTGTATATATACACACAAATCCATATTTGTGTATATATATATATAAAACAGCTAAATAACCCTAACAACTATGAGAATACCAAGGAGATATTCACATATTTACAGATGAACAACCCTAACCACTATGAGAACACCAAGTGGATATATTTTATCTTATAAATATAATAACTTGGATAAGGATATTTTATTAATTAAAATGTTTCTAATATTTTGCAACTCAGTTACATTTTTATACAAGTTTCTTGTTATTGAGTGAGTATATATACTAAACACTAATGATTTAAAAGTATTTTAGCATAAGATACTTTTTAATATTTGTTTATTATGAAATATACATACAACAAATTGTATACAATGCATATGTACACAACAGAATCACACATCTGGTTGTTGGGTGCACCAGAAATTGTTCCCAGTGAATAGGCTGTTCTATATATTCTGTGACTAGGCTTATTGCCGCTCACCTCCAACTCTGAAATGTAAATTTAAGCAGAGTACTGAAATAGAGAGAAGAGAGTACGTGGCTGTTTCAGGGAAACAGGGCACAGAATGTACAAGAAGAACTTCATCAGTGTCTGATCAAGAGAAACAAAGTATAATGACAATATGGACTAGGCTCACCTGAGAATTATCTTTTCAGATTTAAAAAGTAGTACAATAGCAGTGAGGATTTTGGTCATGACAGTGCTGAATGTATCTGTCATTTGAATCACACTGTTCCAGTGTGGACTGCTGATTAGCCCTCTGTGTCTGCAGCATAATTATTATTGTGAGATTCCTCCCTTCTTTTGCCTTCTCAGGATCCCCTTAGTCTCAACCGTATTGAATATCCTGTTGCCTCTAACATATGTCCTCTCTTTTCTAAGTTTATCTCTAATTTTGGTGGCTTCTTGAGAATTCCAGGACAGGTCCATTTTTTGAGATATTTCTGAAAAAGGCTGTATATGTCTGAATGCTTTTATTCTACTCTCATAGATAAGTGTTAGTTTCGCTGGGTGTAGAGTTCTAAGTTGAAAATAATTTTACTAGATAAATTTCAAGGTATCCTTTCATTGCTTTCTTAGTTTGAGGCTACTGTGGAAAAAGCTAAAATCATTCAGATCCCTGATGCTTTGTGATTTTTTAATATGTCTTTTAGGTTTGTATTCTCAGCATCCTGAAATACCCAAGTGATAGGCATGTATCTACTTTTATCCACCGGGCTGAGCTCTTGCTAATTTTTTCAATTTAGTCACCGTTGTCCTTGAGTTTGGAGAAAACTTTCTGACCCATTACTTTGAGAATTTCCTTTTCTCTGCTTCCTGTGTTCACTCTGATAACTTCTCTTAACATTAAATTATTTTAATTTTTATGAGTTCTTATTTTATGGCCACCATATCTTCTATCTCTGAAAACTAATAGCAATCCTATGAAATTCCCTTCTTCCTGAAAAGAATTCTGTTTCCTCCCAGTTGCTTTTTTTCTGCTTGCTTATTTGGATTCCTACCTATCTTCTATTTTAGAGGTTTTCTTCAAATGTTTGTCTTTAATTCTGAGCAACCTGTTAATGATTAAGAAAAGGTGACTAAAATCTGAGTTGGAAGTTCTACATGCACAAGGGTGTAACAGAGAATGTTTATCTAATTTCAGCTTTGCCATAGATTAATCTAATTGGGCTTTTTGTTGATGAATCCTTCAAAATCTCCCTATCTTTTGATCTTTCCTCTTGGGCCTATTAGATTCTCATGAAAAGTTTCTTGCCTAGAGATTAAGGCCCTGACTGCCAGTGTTCTGGTAAGCATTCTTTAAGAGAACCGGAGTTCTCCACATTCTGAATTCAGAACGACTAAGGTCACTTAACCACCTGTTTCAAATTTAGTAATTGGGCTTTCAGCTGGACCTGGCATCCTCTAGCCTGGCGTACTTCACTTTTTTCTCTTTTGAGAATAACACACTATCACTTCACTGAATTGGTCGAGAACAGGCTCCCAGAGGTGAAGAAAAGGGAGGGGAATATAGGGACCCACTGTTTTCAAAATACATTAAGTCCTTCTTATTGTGTTCTCCCTTCTCTATTACAAGTTATTAATGTGGTTTGTACAACTGGTTCCTGTGCCTTTAAGAATTCTGTGATACAGGGCGCCTGGTTGGCTCAGTTGGTTAAGGGACTGCCTTTGGCTCAGGTCATGATCCTGGAGTCCCGGAATCAAGTCCAGAGTCTGGCTCCCCGCTCAGCGGGGAGTCTGCTTCTCCCTCTGACCCTCCCCCCTCTCATGCTCTCTCTCTCTCTCTCAAATAAATAAATAAATAAATAAATAAAATCTTTAAAAAGAAAGAATTCTGTGATACAATCTGGTTGGTTGACAGTTCCTCACACTGCCCACTTGGGATTCTTTTTTTTTTGAATCTGCTTAGTTAACTACCATTTGTTCATATGCCCATCTCCTTCCAAAATTTTGTTGAAATTTTCACCTCTCTATTCTTATTCTTGGAGTTCCATGTATTAAAAAAAACCTGTCTACTGTAATTTTTATGGTTGAATAAGGAGCAAAATTTGATGCATGCATTCAATCCTTCACTCTTACCTGAAACAAGACTTCCTTTTAAAGAAAATATTATGCAGAAATACGATATAGGAAGCAAATCAAAATTAGAAATGCTTTGGTTCACATACAGTGGAAGCAGAACAGACCTTGTTTTTCTAATTGTAAAGAACATATTATCGCCAATGTTTTCTTCTTACTAAATAATTTTTCTAACTTTGTATGTAAAGGGGATACTTTCACCATAAAAAATGAATTTCACAAAATGGAGTCCAAGAATATTTCTGAAATGGGGAATACTCCTATTTTAGTATCTGTCAAATAATGCTAAATTTGGAAGCCAGTGTAATTTATACCCTAAGGGCTTAGATCTAATTCAAAACATTCCAATTTCTATTACACAAAGCTCAAGAAACATGTGTTATAATGTAGATAAGGAACACTTTGTTAGTGAACCATGCTGAACTGTAAGATTTTAAGAATTCCTTTTTAATATATTGCCTTACAGTATATCTTGCTTTCACATTTATTATGGGGGTAACTTAAAAAAAATATTTATAACCAAATATATCCCTGCCTGTTTACAAAGGAGAATTGCTGTTTTCCTATATTTCAACTGGAGATTTCTATAATATTATACTTCCAAAAATATAGCACTCTCAATTACCTGTATAGTTTATCTTAAAGTCAATCTGTAGAGTTTACTATCTAATCCAACATTGTTAATGCACTGAAAAATCTATCATAAATCATATATTCCACTCAT